TATTTTAATTCTTTCAAACAGCCTCCAATCCCTTCCACCCAGCAATAAAACAAAACAAATTGAACTGAAACCAATTTCCATGAGTTTTTATTTTCTATATGGGTGGATTTAGTAAAATTGCTTTGAGGAGTATTTAGTCATACAACACACATCTGCAATCTGAAATGGTTTAGCTCAGGATCAGACTTATCTCCTGATCTGTTGAGTTTCAATGTGATAAACTGTATGAGATGAGAATTAGAGCTACAGAAATTCTTTCTACCTTCAAACTATAAAAAAGGTGACAGGTCTGGACTTCATATATAGAGGTGGCACTGGAATTGGAAGAAATAATGAGTAGGTCACTCACCCATTGTCATAAATGTAAAAAAAAAAAACCCAGTATTTTTACTTTATTCTATTCTGAATAAATATCTCATATCTAACAAATTAATCCAAAAATTATTTAGTTTGCCTTAGAACCAAAAGAAGAGGAACACAAAGAAAAAGAAGTCAGTATTAATTAAGAAACAAGATAATGCACATGTATAATTTTTTAAAGAAATTTCAATGTAATGATTATGATCACACAGTCATGCAATTAAGCTAACAGGAAAGTACATGCTGATAAACAGAGAATATTGCTAAAGAGAAGACTGATTAACATGGGCACTAATTCTGATTTTAATTGGTTTGCAAATTGATAGGAGAAAAGCAACTATTAGCCATGCAGATGGTTAACTTGATGATCAGTTTGTTTTTGTTTTTTTAGTTTTTAAGTCTGAAGAATAATTGATCCTATCATTTTATGAGTTGGCAATTTCCTTTAGAAAATGTGTATCTATGCAATTGCCCACGTTTGTCATTTGAATATCACCTTTTCACTCCTATTTCAGTCATATGCAGGTTACTTATTTTTGATAAGCATATTTTGTTCAGGAAAAAAAAACCTCTTTCTAAATTTGGAAGCATGTGAATATCAAATAATACTTGTGTACTGATTTATGTACCAATACAAATACTTTGCATTAAAAATGTTTCAGTTTAAATAAATTAAACACATTTTCTCCATGTCTACCATATTTCCTAGGATTGTGTGCTTCCAGCACCACAGTCACAATTATAGATGAGAAGATCAAAATACTGTTGGGAAATGAATACAGCATTGCAAATCCCAAGATATTCCTGCTTGCTTGAGTAGGAACAAGGTAAACCCAAAGGGCCAAAGGTTCAGAGAGAACATTACAGTATGTATTGTACTCAGTGCTTTTTTTCTATATATATATATATATATATATATATATATATATATATATATATATATATATATATATATATATATATATATATATATATATATATATATATAAAGGTGCCAGAACTCACACACGTCATACAACCCGCCTTGCCTATCCTACAAGTTTCCTTCCAAAAAAGGTGCTGGAACTCCATCCTGGGCGTTCTATGACAAAAAAAAGCCCTGCTTGTACTTAATTGTTTTTTTAGTTTTATTGTGTCAAACTAATTCAAAGAAAGAAAGTAAAACTATATAGACCATAGAGTTAACAACAACAAAAAACTATAACATGTGTAAAGAAGAAAAGAAAAGAAAAAACAGGGAGATTTTATTTTATGTATTGTATCCCTCACCTATACTCATCAGTCTTTAGTATCTTTCCTATTTTACCTATGAAGAATGGGGGTAAATCTTTTCAGAATTTCTGACCAGATAATAATTAAAAATAATAATTACAGAATTAAGAAAAATTGTACAATGAAATACATCACGTGAGGTGTTAATACCACTTTATAATGTCTTGGTAAGACCACGCTTGGAATACTGCATCCAGTTATATCAGTCGCCATAATATAAAAAAGATGTTGAGACTCTAGAAAGAGTGCAGAGAAGGGCAACAAAGATGATCAGGGGACTGGAGGCTAAAACATACGAAGAACGGTTGCAGGAATTGGGCACGTCTAGTTTAATGAAAAGAAGGACGAGGGGTGACATGATAGCAGTGTCCCACTATCTAAGGGGCTGCCACAAAGAAGCTGAAGGTCAACCTATTCTCCAAAGCCCCTGAAGATAGGACAAAAAGCAATGGATGTAAACTAATCAACGAGAGAAGCAACCTGGAACTAAGGAGAAATTTCCTGATAGTGAGAATAATTAATCAGTGGAACCATTTGTCTTCAAAAATTTGTGGGTCTCTAGTTCCAGATGTATGGAAAGGGAATTACAGTGGAAGGTCATTTAATATATATTCTAGACAGGAGGTTTGGGTTTGTTGCCAAGTTAAGCAATGGGGGATCCTTAAGAGGTATGTTTGTACAGGTAGTTCTTGACATATCACCCAAATTAAGCCCAAAATTTCTGTAGCTATGCAAGACAATTGTTAAGTGAATTTTGCCCCATTTTATGATCTCCCTCGAATCGCTGCAATTGTTACCTTAGTAACACAGTTTGTGAAGTAAATCTGGCTTCCCCTTTGACCTTGCTTGTCAGAAGGTTGCAAAAAGTGATCACCTTTTGATCCAGAGACCCTGCCAACCATCATAAATACCTGCAGGTTACCAAGCATTCAAATTTTGATCAGGTGACCATGGAGCTGCTGCTATGGTCACGTGAAAAATAATCATAATTCACTTTTTTCAGTGCCATTGTAACTGTAATCGGTCACTAAATGAATGGTTATAAGTCAAAGACTACCTGTACAGGGAATACATTACAAAATATATGGGTGTTTTGCTGCACTGAGGACCCAGATTGTTGAGGACAATACGCTGACACTGTAAACTGTTTAGACAGTGCTGTAAAGCACTGTAAAGCAGTATATAAGTTTAAGTGCTATTGCTATTTTGTGTATGTTTGTGTGCTAGATTATTCTGCGAAGAATACTGACATCTGCTATCAGTGATGAAAGGAAGTTCTTCTTGGACTTAGAAAGACAGCCTGTCCTTTTTCTTCCCCTACATGGGTCATAAAAAGAATTGAATAGCCATTTCTAAGCATCTCTCAAAAGCCATTGTCTTAACCAGAATAGTTAATAATGAACATTTATTACTAAATAGTCCCAAGGTCAGAGAAAGCCATCATTATGACCAGCAAAGTTACCTCTTCTTGACTGAGAGTTTATCATGCTAGAATCCTAATGACTCCATCAAAGGCATCCTTCTGAGATGTTCTACCTAAATAAGCGTCCAAGTTATAATGGTCTTCCATCAGTGAGACATAATTGGCAATTCTGAAGCAGCACAAAACCTGTATCTCTAACTTTCCTCTTTTTTTTTAAAGGATATCCTTTTGCTTCAGATTTCGCCGAGGTCACTGGAGAAAATAATTGCTTTTGTTCAAGCAATATGAAATAATTTTTCCACAGATGCCCCTATAGCCTTAAAGAAATTCCTTCCACCATGCAGCTAAGGAGTTAATATACTTTCCTGACCTCTCCACATTTGTCCACAGTTGGTGTCAACATAGTTAAAGCGTACCTTACCAAGTACACCTTGCTGAAAATAATGCCTGTTGTAGAACTCTTTAAGAAGATAAAGTCAGTTGAAATGACCCATAATACTTTATGGGCAATTTATAACATATTTGAAGATCCAGATGGCTTAAAGGTCCCACAGTTATGCACCCAAAGTCAATGCAGAAGACTAAAGGCTTTATAGACCTCCTGTGCACAAGGGAAAATTCAGTTTATACCAAGAAGGCAAAGTTTTCCACCAATGTATGAGAAACAATTGGTTTACAAAATCTTGGGGAAAGGTTGGGCCTTTAATGAAAGAACACATTTCCTCTGCATGCAGGAAGTCCAAAAATCAATCACCTCCAGATTCACAGAATGACTCTGATCTGAAATCCTGGAGAGACAGTATGAAGCACAATGAGTTATTCAGACTAGAGCCAAATGTCTACCCAAGTTTGCAGTCAACAAGCAAAACCTGCACATAATCTACAAATAGCCAAATGTTAAAGCCAGAAGTTCTTATGAACAATCCAGGTATAACCAGAAGCCAATTCAGAAATCAGGAAGACAAACTAAAGAGAAATCTGAGATTCTGGAAGCCAAGGAAATGGGAGAATGATATAGATAAGAAAGATGGTGGTTGGTTCTAGCTATTGAGTGAGGTATGATATGTTCATCTTTGACACTTTTAGAATAGAATAGAGCTGGAAGGGACCTTGGAGGTCTTCTAGTCCAGCTCCCTGCTCAAGCAAGAGAACCTATACCGTATCAGACAGGTGAATGTCTAGTCTCTTCTTAAAAATCTCCACTGATGGAACGCCCATGATTTCTGGGGGTAAGCTGTGGCACTGGTTGATTGTCCTCACTGTCAGGAAGTTTCTCCTTAATTCAAGGTTGCTTCTCTCTTTGATCAGTTTCCAACCCATTGTTTCTTGACTTTCCCCTTGGTGCTTTGGTGAACAACCTGGCCCCCTCTGTCTTGTGGCAGACCCTCAGATACTGGAACTTTTGATATAGTTATCTTTGGCATTTATGGTATGTTCATCTTTGGCACTTATGATACATTTATCTTTGACCCTTTTCCTGTTCTGCTTTTATTGCCGCTTGTTGTAGTTTGGTTAAGTTCAGGAAGTCTATTTCCCCCATTTAATTGGATTCAGAGGCTCTATCTCTGACTATCAACACAGATATATGTTTGCTTTCATGGACTTGAAAGTGTTCAGATTCAAATTCTTCCTCCCTTTGATCATCTGGGCTGATCTGAATTGAACTGATCTGAAATAAATGTACTAGCATACATACATAAACACATGTACACAATTTTGTCTATGTATTACAGTTATCTTCAGGGTTATTCATTCAACATGGAAGTGTGGGCATATCTGTATATCTATACAGAATTTCTTATTAGAGAATTTCTAGACCTTAAGAACTTTGCATTCAATGTTTACTTACGACTGAGATGTGTTTGAAATTTCCAGAGAAGGAAGGGAGGGAAAAAGGGAAGGAAGGATGGGAAAAATAGACATAAGAAGAGAAGTACAAACTTACATGGTAGGATGCTCTTTCTTCTCTGTCCATTGGACGGGTCACGTACATTCTCCCTGACACAGGGTCAATGTTGAAGACTTCCATAGGTGGCTGGTCAGCTCCCACCCCTGTGATGCTGTATCTTATATGGATCTCACTGTCTTTATCTGAACGAATCTGAATTAAACATTAAAGAAAAAAATGAATCAGAATGGAATGCAAGCCGAAGGGAGAAAAATGCTTGCAGTGACAATTTTTTTATTTATCATTACATTTATTTGCCATCCATCCCATGGATCATTCACAGTCATTGTCCAAGAGACCATTACATTGTCAAGATGGGGGAAAGGATTAACAGCTTCATCTCTCAGTAATTCTATACCAATTTTGATAGATGCCTATTTCTGAAGAAAATGCCCACCTTTGGATAGTTTTAGGATAGTATCCGCATCTTAAGTTCCATGAGACATGTAACATATGCTGGGCATTTAAATATATCAGTTGCAGAGTGAAAGTTTCTTTCTAATGTTCTCTTCCTGTCCTGGGCTTACATAGCACAATAACAGAGTTGGAAGGGACCTTGGAGGTCTTCTAGTCCAACCAACTGCTCAAGCAGGAGACCCTATACTATTTCAGACAAATGGTTGTCTAGTTTCTTCTTAAAAGCCTCCAGTGATGGAGCATCCACATCTTCTGAAGGCAAACTGTTCCATTGGGTAATTGTTTTCACTCTCAGGAAATTTCTACTTAGTTCTAGGTAGCTTCACTTCTTGATTAGTTTCCATCCATTGCTTCTTGTATTGCCTTCTGGTGCTTTGGAAAATAGGTTGACCCCCTCTTTTTTGTGTTTTAGTAACTGCCCCTCTTAAGGTCATCTCTACAGTCCCAGAGTAACCTTTAATTTCAACTTAATATCCCTTGCTTGCCTTTGATTATCCAATCCCCATTTAAAATAGACAGACAGACAGACATTAGATAGATAGATAGATAGATAGATAGATAGATAGATAGATAGATAGATAGATGTCTCAATAAAAAGAAACAAAGCGAGCACTTAAAGTTTGCTCCAATTAGCCCAGATTCCTTCTATGTTTCTATTCCTCCACTCCTCCAATAATTTGTTTCCTTCACAAAAGACGGGACCAATGTTATTGCAGTAGATGGGAGATAGTTTTAGCCAAAATGAAGAGGACGACCAGAGAGAGACAAGGAAGATATTGGCCTCACACATTGCAGAAGCATTTGGTCCTCTGTGCATCCTTCGGCTACATCAAAGTTCACAGATTGTAGAATCTCTTTTGGTGCAAGAGATAGCCTTTGATTACCCAATGCCCATTTAAAATAGACAGACAGACAGACAGACAGAAAGGTCGGTAAGTCGGTAGATAGATAGATAGATAGATAGATAGATAGATAGATAGATAAATAGATAGATAGATAGATAACCTTTATTGTCATTTTTTACTGTGGGCACAATGGCACACATTAAAAATGAAATTTAGTTGCTTCCTCTCAAAGTGTAGACATACTTAGCACACATTTAAATATACTATATACAACATATGTATAGACCTACACCTTTACTTATAAGTATAATATAAATATTAATCACTGTCCATCTTGAATACATAACAGAAGGAGGAAGCTTTAGAGTTCACAAGGTTAATAGTGTATGGAGCAAAACTGACTGAATTTGGATGTTCTGTTTCGGATACCATGAAGCCCCCTCCTCCCAGAAGGTAACAAGGAAAACAGGTTGTGGAGAGGGTGTGTAGCGTCTGAGACAATCTTGCAGACCCTGCTCAAGCAACGCTTATGTGCCATGTCCTGGATGGAAGGGATGGAACTGCCAGTAATCTTTTCAGCCATCCTCACCACTCACTGCACCGCTTTCCGGTCCGAAGCAGGGATGCTTCTAAACCATACTGTGATGCTATATGACAGGATGCTCTCGATCGTCCCTCTGTAGAAAGTGGTAAGGACAGGGGAAGGAAGATGTGCTTTTCTCATGTGACACAGAAAATGCAGGCACTGCTGTGCCCGCTTCACCAGTGTCTCACAGTTGAGGGACCAAGCCAGCCTACTTGTTAACTGCACACCCCGGAATTTGTTGCTGGTAACTATCTCCACAGGTGAATCATTAATGCATAGAGGAGTATAGCTGTGCCTACCTTTTCTGATTGATCTCCTTGGTTTTTCCAATGTTTAAAATAATCCAAGCTTACGGGGTCATTATTACACCGCATAGCAATTATTTTCACAGAGTCACTATGCAAACTCTATAGTCCATTTTAAATGTCTTCTTCCTTCAGTGTCATTAGAGGATTGCAATGCTTTCTTTATGACAGACATTGATTATATTATATAAAAGTTTCAGTTCATACACTACACAGTTTATATAAAGTTTCCCCAAATGTGTTCTCCTCAAGTTTGTAAAGACTGAAACAAATCTAAAATTCTTAGTCAATATGGCCTCCAATTCAAAATTCTGGTCAAGAAGAGAAGGATGTTTACATCAATCATGCTGTCAGAATGAATTATATCTGTATCACTAGAACAGACCCATGAACTGTCACAAGCTCTAACATAATTAAGAACGTATTGAATTTATTCAAACTATTTAGATATTCCCGTAGAACCATGTTTTCCAGCAAGGTTTCAATAAAGATTTTTAAGGAACATGCCACATCTGCAATGCACAGAAGAACAGCATAAACATGGGAGCCTTTATGAGAACCCCTCACCTCACCTCTACTAACAAATGTTCATCCCTCATCTTAGAATTCTTCATCTTTTGAATTTTTTATAATGTTGTTTTATAATTAAAATTTTTAAATCCTAAATTGTTCTGATTTTAATGTTTAATTTTATTGATTAAACTGTACATCACTCAGATTTTCTCTCTGAGGGAGACGGGCGATTAAGAGATCATGTTGATGATGATGTTATCCATTCAGTCACATTCAACATTTGGTGATTCCCTGAGTCAGGTCTCTTCATATCTTCTGCTCCTGCACTATTTCTTTTGAGTTTTTCTATGCTCTGGCTGATGTCAGATTTATTCGTCTCCAAGCCTATTCTTTGATAGCCTGGTTTCTTTTTATTGCTAACTTTTTCAAACATAATTGCTTTATCCACATGACATGACCAAAATAAGTGATACAATAACAATAACAATAATAAAATTGGAAGGGACCTTTGAGGTCTTCTAGTCCAGGGGTGTCAAACTGTGGACCCACAGGCTGGATGCATCATCCGGAAGCCGCGCCCACCCCATTGCCGGCAATGGCAAAACCGTCTCAATACGCTGCACGACGTCACATGATGTCGCGAGTTTGACATGTCTGTTCTAGTCCAACCCCCTGCTCAGGCAGGAAACCCTATACCATTCCAGACAAATGTGTTTCAGACACAGCTTTATCATTAGGATTAAGAAGTATGAAATATAAACAAACAAACAATCAACTATGGCCTTGGGATTAGGAAGGGGACTTTCTGCGTCTTAGAAAAAAAGTATTCTAGGAGATTAGAAAGTGATGCCACGTAAGATACACAGCTACTCCATGGAAGCCCTGATGGCCACTTGCTATCCCTCAACCAGAAATAACACCTAAACAAAATGGAGGCATGTTCAAAATAAACTAATTTCCCCCTTCTTGTTATAGTTTCTTAAACCAGGCAGCACTTTTCTCATCCTGTTGCATATATTTTCTACAGAAAACAATCCTACAAGAAGATCTGCACAGAGAACGCCATTTCTGCTTCCAGCAGAGGTGAGGAAATAAATATGCAGGTTAAGATGTAACTGTGTCAACCAGGAGCTATTACTATTTGACAAACTGAAGTTAATTCTCAGATGGGCAATTTAAAGGAGTTCTTAGTTCAGGCAGAGCTATTTGGGAAAGAGGGTCTGAATGGAAAGATACAAGGCAGAAATAAATAATCTGCTGTTACCCACCACCAGGAAGCCGTTGGATGAATATTGTAGGGATAAGCAACTTAACTCCAACATATCTGGAAAACACTAAGCTGTGCTGAATTGATAATTGTCATGAATGTTCAGAGTTGTATTTCTTATGTTGTAGAAAAAAAATGTATTATAATCATTAATGATAGAAAGGCATGTCTATACAGGTAATCCTTAACATATAACCATTTTGTTTAGTGACCATTTGAAGTCACAATGGTACTGGAAAAAGTTACTTATGACTGTTTTTTACACTTACAACCATTGCAGTATGTCTGTGGTCATGTGATTAAAATTCAGCTGTTAGCAATTGACTCATATTTATGACGGTCCTGGGGCCACGTGAACCTCTTTTGTGACCTACTGACAAGCAAAGTGAATGGGGAAGCCAGATTCACTTAACAACCGTGTCACTAACTTAACAACTGCAGTTAATTTAGCTACTGTGGCAAGAAAGGTCTAGAATGTGGCAAAATTCACTTAACAAATGACTCACTTAATAACAGAAATTTTAGGCTTAATTGTGGTCGTAAGTTGAGGACTACCTGTACTATACTATAACATGGAGTCAACTGCAGATATCTTAATGCTTTTTAACATTAGAAGAGCATAATTGCACGCATCAACATTTTGAACTGAGTGGAAAACAGAAAGTGCAAACACATTCAGACCTTTTAAATTAGAACATTCAATAAAGTATTTACACATGTTAAGTGTGGAATATGATAGAAATATTTTAATGAAGCTGCGCCTTATTACTCATTGAGGTGAACATTAAGTAACATTAAATATTACGGTTTTGTGTGTGTGTACGTGTGCGTGCATGTGTTTGAGGGCTTGAAGGGTGTTAAGTAACAAATAATGGAAATATTTTTAAATACACTTGTGCCTTCGCTTCGGCAAATGAGTTAAATGAGAGATTTCAGAGATTAAATTCTCAAGTAGCCCTCTTGAATGTGCACTCAGATACATATTTCCATTTCAGCATGCATGCTTCAAGCTCTTACGGCTGAGAATAATTACTTAATTCAAATGTGGACAAGTAACTTGTGTAATAATCAGTGAGGCTCAGCAATTCCTTCTTGACCAAAATGAATGCACGGATGGGCGCCAACAGGCAAGAGGGCAAATTGGTGTGTGAATGCTGGCTTGGGAGAAAGCAAGTGAAAATGCAAGTGCATTTATAGTAGGAGTTGACTAAATGCTGAGA